CCCCAAAACCCCAAAACCCCAAAACCCCAAAACCCCTATAAGTATTTCATGATAGAAAAAGATAAATTATACAAATGAAGCGTAAGGCTAGGAAGAGAGTCCTAATGACTGACCTTGAAGTCAGGATGTTCAAGAAGGCCCCGTCTTGACACCCTAGGAGGTTCAGGAAAAGAAGGTAGGATATTCAGTCATTTTTAGTTCTAAATTTATCAATTTTGAATGATCTACTCCTCACCATATCAACCAAGGTATGAAAAATATGACACTTGAATCAACTGAAACTGGGTAATGTTTGTTTTATAACCCTCTTAGGCCTCAGATCAAGGAGAGAACCTCTGAATTTGAGTCAATAATGAAGTTAAATTATGATGCTAATAATATCCTTCAATCAAATCAAAACATGTTTATGGAAATATTCCAAAAAGAGTTAGACCATTACAACGAGCCTGACTGTATCTGCTCATCTAAACCTTTAGTCAAATAAGACGCATAAGAGCACCATTTCTCACATTCAATCAATAAACGGTAGCCCTAAGAAAATCAAGGTAAGGTTTTGCTCTTATTTATAGAAGCTAAAAAACACCACTAACTTCGTTGCAAAAGCAACTCCTTTAAGCACAAGTAAGAACTTCCAAAAACACCAATAGACATGTTCAAGAGGACATTTACCTCTACAAGCCCAAAATCATCCAAAATGAGGCTAAACAAGTAACCTTCTTCCTCAAGCCCCTAACTCCCAATACCTAGAGTCAAAAGCCACCCAATCCTCGGCATCCCCAGTCCACTTCCAGCCCCTAAGCCTAAAACAACTGAGGTTTCCAAATAAGCCTGAAGTTAAAGAATCCAAAAGTAAGGAAATTATAAATGTTCGTAGTCTTAAAGCAATTTTCGAGACCAAGAAACCACGCTGCTATCAGTAAGATGATAAAAGGGTTGTACCAAGGATTAGAGAAAGCACCTCTTCTAAAGCTAAAGTTATTACACAACAACAAGAAAATTTTAAACAAGAGGTATTTTCTTAGTTCGAAACTTATAGACAACAGAGACCAAAATCTGTTGCAAAAACAATTTCTTGTGCTACCAGACCTATAACGCACCAAGGAAATAGGCTTAGAATAAAATCACAAGGTAAAGCATAACTTAATCGCTCATTCAAATCTACTTATAGCTCGATCCAGAAACACCAACTTTACTAAATCCTTGAAACTCCAATCACAGAAGTTCTTATTTACATGCAAAAATATAACAATTCAATAAAAATTTCGAAATTTGGGGTTTTGGGGTTTTGGGGTTTTGGGGTTTTGGGG